ATTATGTAGTGGAGAAAGGTTTATTTTACAAATGCTGCTGACAAATTTGATCTCCATCTGGAAGAGAAGAAAACTAAACACCAATTTCACAACATAAACAAATGGATTTAATAAGTGTGAAAGAGAATTTTTAGGAAAAAAAAATGAGTATGTGTACCACAGTAGTAGGGGAAACGCATTGAAAACCTAGAAACTATCAGAATTGACTAAATGCAATAAATTTCTATATAGTAAAAGATACCTTCATTTTATTTTATTTTATTTCATTTAACAATTCTTTTTTCGCATCTACTGTGTGTGACACACTTTTTTTTAATGAAGGATTTTTTTTTAAAGATTTTATTTATTCATTAGACAGAGATCACAAGTAGGCAGAGAGACAGGCAGAGAGAGAGAGAGAGAGGAGGAAGCAGGCTCCCTGCTGAGCAGAGAGCCCAATGCAGGGCTCGATCCCAGGACCCTGAGATCATGACCTGAGCTGAAGGCAGAGGCTTTAAACCACTGAGCCACCCAGGTGCCCCTGTGACACACTTTTTTAAGCACTAGAGATTCAGCAGTGAACAAAACATAGTTCCTATCTTCAGAGATTCAGAGTTTACGTCTATGGGAGCAGAAAATCAGTAAACACATAAATGTGTAATGTGAGGTAGGGATAAATGGTATGAAGAAAAGTCAGGACAAAAGGATAGAGAGTGGAGAAATACTGTGAGTTAGGGTAGTCATGTTTTAGCTGACGTCTTAAAGAATTAAGGAAGTGAGTTGTGTACATGTTTTGGGGAAAGTGTTTGAGGCAGACCTTGAAGTGGGAACATGCTTGGTGGGCATGAAGAACAATGAAACCACAGTGTGCCTGCTGCAGTGAGGCATGAGGCTGGAGGAGAACCCAGAAGCTGCATACTCTGAGGCTGTGAAGGTCCTGAGAATTTTGGACTTTCACACAGAAATGACTGGAAGACCTTTGGAGGGTCTTGAGCAGAGAAGTAACATGATCTAGCTTACATTTTAAAAGTATGTTTTGAGTCACTTGGGTGGTTCAGTTGGTAAAGTGATTGACTCTTGGTTTCAGCTTAGGTCATGGTCTCAGGGTGGTGAGATCAAGCCTGTATGGGGCTCGGCACTGGGCATGGGGCCTGTTTGAGATTCTCTCTCTCTCTCACCTCTGCCCCAACCACTGGGCTTGTGTGCTCTCTCTCTAAAAATAAAATTAAAAAAATAATTAGAACAAAAGTATGATTCTGACAAAGAGAGAAGCTCTCTTTGGAGGTTATCACAATAGTACAGATGAGCTATGGGGAAGGCTTGTATTGCCTGATGAAGGAGGTGAGAAGTGGTCAGAATCAGGATATAATTTTAGGGAACAGCATGAATGAATTGGATGTTGGCAAGAACAAGTAGATTGAGAAAACTTTTTTTTTTCTTAACACAAATGGCAGGTGAAAAACATTAATAGACAAAAAGCACCTACTTGAGTTGAATCTGAATAAGAAAAGGACAAACTGCCAGTATGGAAAATGAGTAATTCACAGAAGAGTGAGTCCAAAAGACCAAGAAACCTATAAGAACTGCTCAGTCTCACTAGGTGTTGGGGAAATACAATCAAAGCAAGAGTTAGATATTACTGTTCCCGTTACACAGGCATAAAAGAATTAGCTACCACTTTTCTCATTACTGTTTTTCTCAGTAGATACTCTGTGTAGCACCCATGAGTGTGTGGGGAAAATAGAACTCAGACATCCCTGTCAGAAAATGAGTGATTACAAATTTTTGGGAAAGTGATTACACATTTTCATTAACATTAAAAATACGTATTTCCTTTTTCTCTTGACTTGCCAGTTCCATTTTGGAAATATATCCTACAGAAATAAAATCTTTATATTGTACAAAGATGTTTATTATATCACTATTTGGCTAATGGCAAAAGCTGGAAACAAGCCAAATGTCCATTGTTAAGGATTTGGTTGAATATGCAGTAATTCATCCACTATACTGTGATGGTAATGCTTTAGAATGATGTCCTTTGACCTGGAGTGATGCACATGTTATAGTGTTAGATATGGAAATCAAGTTGCAGAATAATGTGTGTAGATTGACTCCATGTGCATATATGTTTATATGAGCATAGGTTAAGATATGGAGAGATTCATAGGAAGTTAACACTGATAATGTCATGAGTTTTAATTTTTGCAGAGAAATTTAATAAAGATTTAAAATACTTTTGAGAACTGGGTTACAATGTTTATAATCTGTAGTGTCATATCTCTTAGATTTTACTTCACAGCCTTGGCAGATGCTCAGGATTCTGGATGATAATGGATGAGAGTATCTTTAGTTCTCAAACCCTAGAAAAACAGGCTTCTATTTCTTTAAAACCTAATTGGGACCTCCCAGGTACAGAGTAGTGATGTTGTTTTTCCTATTTTAAAATGTGGGTAATGAAATTTCATCAAATGTAAAACTGAGCATCCTAATCAATTTCTCAGTTTAACTTTTTATCTCTTTGGATCCTGTTTTAAATTCTATGCTTTTTCGCTTCTATCAGCTCCCTGTATTCATTTCTTAGATATGCCAGTTATAACTTGGGGTAAGAGATATTTATGGGCGATGGTAAATTGCATTTTTAATGCAGAAATCTTCAGTTGGAGTAGGAGTCACATTATCTGATTTTACATAAATTGTTTACTTCCCAATATCTTTGCATTTCTTATTCAACTTTGTTATCTTTAACTCAGTTTCCTGCTTTTCTTATGCTCTTTTCCTACACATAAAATGACTAATGGTAAGACTTCTACTCATTAATTTTTTCTGTCTTTATTGAGGTAAAACTGACAAAAACTGACATATTGAAGTTATAAGACTTGATTCCCTGCCCCGCCCAGTTTGTTGAGATATAATTGACATATAACATCATATAAGTTTAAGGTGTACAACCTAATGATATATGTATATATATGCATATTTTATATATATATATTTTATAAAATGATTACCATAATAAGTTCAGTTAACATCTGTCACCTCACATAGTTACACATTTTCTTTTTTCCTTGTGATAAGAACTAAGTTCTAAACTGGGCATTTGTGAACAGGGCATTTGACATATATGTTAGCTTATTTGTGAAACAATTTACTGCTGTTGATTTTTTAAGTCCCACTTTACTATCTTTATATCTAAATTATATTGAAATTGCATGTACTTATTCATTTTCCTAGTATTTGCATCATTTTGCCAAACATGGTGTTATTTTTTTTTTTAAGATTTTATTTATTTGTCAGAGAGAAAGGGAGAGAGAGCGAGCACAGGCAGACAGAATGGCAGGCAGAGGCAGAGGGAGAAGCAGGCTCCCTGCCGAGCAAGGAGCCTGATGTGGGACTCGATCCCAGGACGCTGGGATCATGACCTGAGCCGAAGGCAGCTGCCCAACCAACTGAGCCACCCAGGCGTCCCAACATGGTGTTATTTTGATAGCTCACTCCTCCCCTTACTTTTTCTGGGGTCCTTTTAAACTTCGATGCTTGTACCTTTAAGGGAAGATTAGCAATTATTTTTAACTGGCCTGCTTTTTGGTGGCCTTTAGAGAAGGACACACATGGTTTTCATAATTGTAGTTTCCTATTGTATGACATATTTACCTGCAGGACCTAGTGGGAATGAAAATGTTTTGACCTGCAAATTGGAATGCACTCCTTTAACAATCCTTTCTTTAAATTTTCATCTTCCTATCAGAACATTTGTTGTACAGGTTTTCCTTACATCTTCCCATACCTTAACTTTTTTCTTTGACCTCTAAAAAGCTCAGTTTACTGTGCTTTTGCTAGCTCTGTACTTTGTCTTGGGGAACTCATTTACTCTATAACTTCAACTATCTCTACTGGTCTACACCCTCTGGAATGACAAGTGTTAGTTTGTTTCCTTAAACTCAGCAATTTGTTATTCTCTCCCTGTCCCACAAACTACCTATCCGTTTGTTATGGATTTTCGGTCACCCAGTTTCAAAAGTTATGGAGTCATCAATTTTTTTTTTCCTTTTCTTTACTCATACGTAGTCATCATGAAGTAGTGATCTCTTCTTTGAAAAAATACTTCATACCTATCCCTTCCATTTATTCTCTTTCCATCATTTATTACTCCAACTCAAACACCTCTTCACTAGACTTATTACTTTCGAGGTTTCTCCTCTTCAGTCTATTTTGTATAATCACAAGATTAACGCTTTGGTAATGCAAACTTATTCACCTAACTCTCCTTCCCAAATACCCTAGAAGGCTTCCCAGTTGCCTGGTTTGTTTTTCATATTCCTTCAGAATCTTCTTCTAACCCTCCTTTTCAAAATTATATTCCAGAGTGCACTCATGAGCCTACTGCAACTGTATAATTGGCTACTTCTTCTAGAGCACAGTGTGGCAGTCCTGAATTTCTTTGCCTTTCTTGTACTCTTCCTACCTCTCTCAGCGTATCAACATCTTATCCATCTTTTGAGACATATATACCACCATTCTCTTCCTCAGGGAGCTATCCCCTTTATATTTTTATCCCAAGAGGTTCCTAACTCATATTATAACATCCATCTAAACTATATTTTGACAGATTTTCTTCTAAAAAATTGTTCTCTATACACATATTATATCACTATGTGTGTTAAAAGCTGTTCTATCGCAGGAAGTCAGACATATTTTTCTGTACCCCTTATTGCTAGAACAGCTTTTCATGAACATTTAGCCTACCATGAAGAGCACTGACTGGTTGATTGATTAGGCTGTCACTGAGTTAATTATAATAGTAGTTGAAGAAAATTATACATTTCTTTACATTGAAATTATACATTTCAAACATTCTCAAAATGTTTTATTTCAGAAAGTATCATCTTTCTTGACTAAGTCATAAATGTATCAACTTAGAAAGCAAAGAATTGGAAGCCAAGATTTGTAGCTGGGAGGACTAAAAATGGTAAAACATCTATTGTAGACATATAAATTAAAGGGATTCTCTAATTATGATCCATTTAAGCAATAACTGGGTTGTGACTTGTATCTAGGGGATGGGAATCATAATAATCAGTTGACTTATAAGCCTTCCTTTTATTTACCCTTACTCTTTCCATCTTTTTGTTGTACTTCTTCCTTTATTTGCCTTTGCCCCTTACTGAACCTTATTTTTTTACTCTTAACTTCTGATTCTTTCTTTCCTTTAACTTTGTGCTTTCCTTCATCACTTTTCTTCAGAGCATCATTTTCTTCTGTATCTGTCTTCTTTCTTGCATTTCCCTGCTCTCCTTGATCCTCAGAACTCTCTCTCTTTACTTGAGGCCCCTGAACTAGCGGTATTTCAGATTCACTACTCTTTACTGCAGACTCATGTCCTTGGGGTGTTCCAGCTTCACTAGTCTTTGCTGGGGACTCCTGTGGTCCTTGTGGTGCTCCAGCTTCACCATTCTCTACTGGAGACTCCTGTCTTTGTGGTATTCCAGCTTCACTATTCTCCACCTGGGACTCCCGTCCTTCTTGTATTCTGGTGTCACTCTTTACTTGAGATCCCTGTCCTTCTTTTATTCCAGACTCACTCTTCTGTACTGGAGATCCTTGTTCTTGTTTTATTCCGGATTCACTCTTCTTTACTTGGGATCCCTGTCCTTGTAGTATTCCGTACTCACTCTTTTTTTCTTGGTCTTCCTGTTCTTGTGGTATTCCAGTATCATTCACCTCTACATGGGCCTCCTGTTCTTGTGGTATTCCAATGTCACTCACCTTTACCTGGTCTTCCTCTTTTGGTATCCTAGTGTCACTCTCCTTTAACTTGACCTCCATTTTTATTTCACCTTTCTCCAACTCAGTATCTTTTGCTTTGGTTTTTGTCTCTGGTTTGTGCCCTGAGTTCAAGGATTCATCAGAATCTGTGACTAGCTTTTCCTTCTTTAATGTTTTCTTGTTTTCTTCTTGGCTGTTCTCAGACTTTGTAGTGGCTCCACTTTTTAGGATCTTGGCCTTGAAATCAGATTTTTTTGCAAGTTCTGCATCCATGTAACCTGGAAATATAACTGAGCACACAACAAAAGTGCACAATTCAGATATCAAGTACTTTCTCTTTATTCCTACTTTTTCCCTGATACTGGTTTATTTTTTGTCTTTAAACTGAAAAACTGGAGATAACTTGAGATTTCATGAAAATATAAAATAACAGCACTCTTATACTTAAAGTTATACAGGTATTGATAATATTCCAGACTCTCTTCAATAAATTGGAAGATTATTGAAAGAAGAGGTAAAATGTATTATGAATGAAGTGGCTGGCATGCATTCAGTATATTATGGCTGATGATTAATGCTTAATAGCTAAAGGAGGATGTATTCTGAAAAGAAATGGAATTTATTTTTAGAAAAAAATGTGCAAAGAAGCAATAATTATTTCTTAAAATAGAAAAAACTCAAAATGTGCTTTGGATATTGAATATAAGAATGTCTCATTATTCAAAAGTGATAATAATATTAGCTGGTAATCATTGGGTGCTTATCATATATCAGGAACTCATTGTTCTGAACATTTTATATAAAGTATTAACTCATTTAATCTTCATAACAACCATATAGGGCAGGTACTATTATTATCCCCATTTTACAGATAAAAAAACTGAGGTACAGGAACTTTAAATGAATGTGAATATGCCCTGGAGTCAGTGGGTGGTGGAGCTGGGATTTGAACCTGAAAAGTCAGACTTCAGAGTTCAGTCTAAACCAATGCTTTAGACAGTTCCTTACGATACCTGCAAACTCACTTTGCAAAAATTTCTGTTCCCTTTTTCCACACATAGGTAAGTGAGCTCTACTATGTCTCAATTTCTGTGTGAGCTAATAAAAACTGAATTTTTTAGTTTCTGTTTTCTTTTCTTATTTTAGTGATTTGGTTCCCTGGATTAAGAAAAAAATATATATATCTATGTTACCAGGAAGAATTTTGTGGGTTCTTGCTATGGAGCAGTGGCATGACTTCCTTTAAGAAAACCTATTTAAATAATGTAATAGAGGGACGCCTGGGTGGCTCAGTTGGTTAAGCAGCTGCCTTCGGCTCAGGTCATGATCCCAGCGTCCTGGGATCGAGTCCCATATCGGGCTCCTTGCTCATCAGGGAGCCTGCTTCTCCCTCTGCCTGTGCTTGCTCTCTCTCCCTCTCTCTCTCTGACAAATAAATAAATAAAATCTTTAAATAATGTAATAGAAAGAATACTGAATATAAAAGCTGAATTAGAATACCTGGGCTTAGTATTTCTGCTAGCTGGGTTTATTTGGGTAAGCCAGTTAATCCCCAAAGACTCACCTTCCTTATATTTAACTTGTTCTGCCCATTTTGTAAAGTTATTTAAGGATTCTAGACAAATGTTTAAGGAGCATGGCTTTTACAGACAGACTGGTTCAAATCCTGGCTTGATACCTAACTAGCCAGGTGAGCTCGGGTGAATCTTACTTTCTTATCTGTAAAATGGGTGCAGTAGTAGTAGCTACTTCACAGAAGTGTTATAAAGATTAAATAATATTACCTAAGTAAAGCACTCAATACAGTACATGGAGCATAGTAAGTAGTCTAATATTGACTATAACTACTGCCAAATGAGATCATACAGGCAGAAAGTCTGATCTATCAAGACAAGGAATTCTTAGTTCCAACCAAATACTTTATAGGAATGGTTAATTGCTTTACAGGAAGATTTCTTGCTTAAAAACTTTTTTTTTTTTAACTTAGAAAGGCTTTTGGTATGTTTAGGGTTCAATGTCTGAAATATTGATGTACACATAACCAAATAACAAGTTGCCAAATGTGAGACACACCTGCATTAGGTAAGAAGGTAACTGTAAGTGAAAAGAGATGATGTAGTTCAGTGTTGCCTTTTTGATATTTTAGACTCTGACGCAAAATAACAATAACATTAAGAATCTTACAGCAGTGCTTTCTGAACTTTTTGTGTATTATTTCCTCCCCAATGATTATTTAATAAGATATGGGTACTGACATTTTATTCTAGGCAAACCCACTTCCAATTTACTAATGAAAATCAGTAGTAATATATCCTAAGCATTTTTGTACCGAAGAAGAGAGTTCAGAATATTTTGATTTCTGACAGTACTACCAGTGGACACTTGTTTTTTGGGAGGATGTGGTGTGGTGTGAGGAAGAGAATGTTTTTCCACTGAAGCTTCCAACCTTACAAATTCTGTGCAATGTGTTCCTTAACAAGCTGACTTTTCTTAATATATGACTATCTTTAGTTTTACCATCTTTAGTTTGTTTCATATTTACTACTGTGTATACTACTGCAGGACCCATTTTAAAGCTAACTTTACCACCTAAATTATATAGATTTTCGTTAATCAAAGGTAAGAATTCTAGGATTTAAATAAAATGTTTATTCTAGCTATGCTTTTTCTAATTTTATAGGACTTAAAGAATTTTACTGTCTTTCCCTCTACCCTAAAAAATACTTCTAGTCACTTCTAATGTAATATGCTTGGTTGTTTTAATATCTTTGCTGTATATTTTCCATCTGGAACTTAATTGCATTGTAGAAGTCAGCTACACATCATTATTCCACCAATTTCTAAGTTCTTCCCTCCCTTCTCTCAAATTTCTACATGGTACATAGATCCCCCCCCCACCCGGATCTCATAATCTCTATAATATAAAGATTTGTAAGCCCTGGCTAAAAGTCTGTTTATTGCAGACAGTAGCCTATATGGCAAAATTCTAATTATAAGGGAAATATTTAATCAAGAACTTGGCATTTATTATAATGTATTCAGGTTACTTCAAGATTTTAAACTGGATTAAAAATCTGTTAAAGCTAAAAGATATCATGAGTTAGCTATCATAGTAATAATTTTAATCATATGAAACTTAAAATAATGTGGTGACTAGACCGACCATGCGCCTTATTAGGAAATTATTCCTATTAAGTTCCTAAGCCAGTGGCTGTCAGGGAGAGCACACACAGATCTAGATCATAAAGATCTGTTAAGCATCAGGGAAAGGACTCTTTGTAGATCTCAGTCCATTAATTAATATTAAAAAAATCATATACTTAATTAGCTGAATGTGGAGATGAGAAATTAATATACTCAACTTGAGAGGGTGGTAAAGTTTGATAAGCTGATCTGTCTTAAATATTTCTTTGAACAATGAATTAAATCTTAATCTCTTTTTGCTAAAAGTATCAACAGGGAAGAATATGTTTGAAATATTGTCGACAAGAATAGATCTTTCACAAGAAAAGTTTTAAAAGATTGAGCTGATTTTTCTCCTGGCAATTTAAAAAAGCATATTCATTAAAAATGAGTTCACTTTCAGAGAGGGCCTTAGCCTATGGTGCCTTCCCAAAGCCCTCTTTCTTTTTGTAAAGAAAACATACACTCTCTTATCACCTTCTCCATGTGCATTTGAAAGATGCAAATACATCATGAGTGCTCTGAATGCATATTATTTTTTGGACTGTGAATGCAAAGAAAATAATTACCCTTTCCAACTTCCCCACCTCCCACTCACAAACCCACTCTCCTAGTGTGAACTGAGAAAGAACAATTAAATATAAAGATATATTTTGTGTTTGTTAGTGTTGGAAAAGTTCGAGATGCTTGAATCTATCTTACTAAATTTAAGTTTTACTTGTTTCTTATAGTTGTATATTGACAGGGTTTTAAGAATTATTATTCTGTTTCATATGATTTTATTGAGGAGCTGAGGCATTAATAATCCTGATGGAAAATCTGAATTTAGAAAACAGTTAAAAGCCAAACATTGATTTAAATGGGATGTCTTTTATTTTTAAAACTATCCTTTGTGTACATTTCATTATATACCTTCTCTAGTGGATGTATATTTGTTTTTACAAACATTTTATTTATAGATATGGTTTCAGGACTAATCACAAAAAAGGTCTTTATGGTTCAGTATAGAAGGCAATGTGTTGGTATGGAAAGAGTATGTACTTTGGAGACAGGAAGTCCTGGATTTAGATCGCAGCAGTGTTGTTTACCAACTCTTTTTTTTTTCTTTTCAGTGTAAGAGTATTCATTGTTTTTGCACCACACCCAGTGCTCCATGCAATACGTGCCCTCCCCAATACCCACCACCTGGTTTACCAACTCTTAAACCTTGGGCAAGTGTGTGCAAATTTACTGATGTGTAAAGTAGGGAATAACAATAACTAGCAGATAGGCTATGGTAAGAATAAGAGATAATGTTTCTGAAAATGCCTAGCACAGTGCACAGTATAGAGAGGGGCTCAATACCTACTATTCCTCAAAAGTAAAGTTACTTAGAAGGCAAGAGAAAATAAAGTTTTTTTCTTAACTAGTTATTTTTCCTGTTAATATGATTCAGTGGACCTTCACTTGTTACCAAAAAGGAGTTCTAAATTACCAGCAAAAAACTCACAAAATCTAGAAACCAATCTTTTTGTCATTATATTTGCTGGGAGTTAGAAAGGAGATTCTTTTTCAGAGCCTAGAAGATGGCCAGAGATTATGGCATCCTTTTGTATGAATTTCATTTCCTCTACAGCTGTCTCTCCAAAAATAGTTATTTAAAATATTAGAAGATTCTGGAGAATAGAAACACTTAAAATGTCCTTAGAAACACAAGTCTCCATCTTGGGAGTAGAAACAGCAAGTCCAGAAAAAATAAACAATGTAAAATATCACAGTTGAGAATAAAAAACTTACCCATAGGAGATAGTGCTAAAAATAAAACATAAAAGATCAATCAGTGGGACTTTTCTAACTCAAGGAAAATCCCACTCCCAATAATATCTTTTGTAAGTGAATGCAGAAGCAGCACCTCCAGGTACTATAAAACCCTCTGTTTCATCCTCAGGAGTGCTGCTGGCCCAATGCTCTACATCCTACTTCACAGAGACGGTTTTCTTTAGGATGCCCTTGGTTAATGTATGGGATGGAATCCTTGTGTTGGTAATATCTATTCTACCAAATTTCAAACTATCACATTTCCTACTTTCATTGTTCTCTCACAAGTCAGTTTTTTACCCACTCACCTTTAGGTAAGTTGGAAAATACATATTTGGCCAATTATCAAAATCACCATCTTGTCCTGACACTTGTTCTTTATGTCAAGTTTAGGTGATTTTCTTTTTCTAGTAAAAATTATCCATTGTCAGATGCTAGCACCAGGAAAATGGGCTTCCTTGTGGTAAATAGCCAGAATTATGAGACAAGATCATTATATTTTGTTCCAAAAGGGAAATAGAAAAGAAGAAATCAAAGTATGAGAAAATCACTTATTTAAGGAATATTGACTACTCTAAGGTAGAAGAACATGAAAAATAAATTAGAAGAACATGAAATATAAAATACATAACAAAAAAATCCTCAAAGGTCCTAGACCAGAAATAGGTAAGGCAAAGAAATGATCTAAACTTACTGATTTTTCCAGAACTGTCCACTGAAAGAGACCAGAAAAAATCATCAGTAGGTATTGGGTTCTCCCTTCTTACACAAACCCACACTCCTCTGCACTGGATGTACAGAATCTGTGTCATGAAAACTAAGTTCTTTTTATTTCCCTGTCCCTCCTCTTGACCTGTTATTGTTTAGAAAGATCTTGTGATTAGCTATTTTATGAAAAAAAAATTTATTAAAATATATTTGACATTTTGTGCAATTTGAAGGTGTGCAACATGTCAATTTGGTATATTAGTATATTATATTAAAATATGATTAGAATATGATTGCCATTGTAGCAATAATTAGAACCTCTATGACATTACATAGTGATCCTTTCTTGTGGTTGGAATCTAAGTTCTAGTCTCTTGGTAAGTTTGATGATTGTCATACAATTTTGTTGTCTAAATTCACTATACTATGCATTAGGTCTCTAGGACTTATTTACTACTTGTAAATTTTTACCTTTGAATAGCACATGCCCTATCCCCCACCCACACAATCCCTTAGTAACTCTCATTTTACCTTTTTTTTTTTTTAAATAAATTTGGCTTTCTAGATTCCACATATAAATGATACCATGCAATACTTGTCTTCCTCTCTCCAACTTACTCATTCAGCATGATACTCTCAAGGTCCATCTATGTTGTTGCAAGTGGCAGGATGTCCTGCTTTCTCACTGTCGAATATTATATCTTGTTTGTGTGTGTATGTGTGTATGACATCCTCTTTATCCAGTCATCCATTGGTATGGGCAATTAAGTTTCATTCTGTACCTTGGCTGTTGTGAATTATGTTGTAATATTCATGAACTTATATTTTTTGTATTTTTTTGATATCTTATTTTCACTTCCTTTGGATATATGCCCAGAATGGAATCGCTGCATCATATGGATGGTAGGCCAACTTCTAATTTTTTGGGGAACCTCCGTGTTGTTTTCCAATTTACATTACTGGATCATAGGGTAGTTTTTATTTTTCACTTTTTTTTTAAGATTTTGTTTATTTATTTGACAGGCAGAGATCACAAGTAGGCAGAGAGGCAGGCAGAGAGAGAGGGTGAAGCAGGCTCCCCGCTGAGCAGAGCGCCTGATGTGGGGCTCGATCCCAGGACCCTGGGATCATGACCTGAGCTGAACGCAGAGGCTTTAAACCACTGAGCCACCCAGGTGCCCCTATTTTTCACCTTTTGAGGAATCTCCAAACTGTTTTCCACAGTGATTACATGAGTTTGCATTCCCAGAAACAGTGCACCAGTGTTCCTTTTTCTCCACATTCTCACCAATACCTGTTATTTCTTCTCTTTTTGATTTTAGCCATTCTGACAGGTGTGAAGTGATAGCTCACAGTAGTTTTGATTTGCATTTCCCTCATGGTGATTAATGATGAACATCTTTTTTTTTTTAATTTTATTTTTTATAAACATATAATACATTTTTATCCCCAGGGGTACAGGTCTGTGAATTGCCAGGTTTACACACTTCACAGCACTCACCTTCCCCAATGTCCATAATCCCACCCCCCCTCCCAACCCCCCTCCCCCCATCAACCCTCAGTTTGTTTTGTGAGATTAAGAGTGATGAACATCTTTTCATGTGTCTGTTGGCAATCTGTATGTCTTCTTTGGAAAAATGTCTTTTCATGTCTTCTGTCCATTTTTAATTGGATTGTTTGTTTTATGGCTGTTGAGTTTTATGTTTTTTATGTATTTTCTATACTAATCCTTTATCAGATATGTCCTTTGCAAGTATCTTCTGCCATTCCATAGGCTGCCTTTTAGTTTTGTTGATTGTTTCCTTTGCCATGCAGAAGATTTTTATTTTGATGTATTCCCAATAGTTTATGTTTGCTTTGTTTTCCTTGCCTCAGGAGACGTATCTAGAAAAATGTTGCTATAGCTGATGTCAAAGATGTCATTTCTTCTGTTCTCTTCTACAGTTTTCATGGTTTCAGGTTTCGTACTTAGGATTTCAAACTATTTTGAATTTATGTTTGTGTGTGGTGTAAGAAAGTGGTCCAGTTTCATTCTTTTGCATGTAACTGTCCAGTTTTCCCAATACCATTTGTTGAAGAGACTGTCTTTATTCTGTTGGTTATTCTTTTTGCTTTGTCAAAGTTGAATTGACAGTATTATTATTATATCTGGGTTTTCTATTTTGTTCCATTGATCTGTGTGTCTGTTTTTGTGCCAGTACCATACTGCTTTGATTACTAGAGCTTTGTAATATAACTTCAAATCCAGAATCATGGTACCTCCCGGTTTGCTTTTCTTCTTCAAGATTGCTTTGGTTATTCAGGTTCTTTTGTGGTTCCATACAAATTTTAGAATTATGTGTTCTAGTTCTGTGAAAAGTGCTGTTGTTATTTTGATAGGAATTTCCTTAAATGTGTAGATTGCTTTGGGTAGTATAGACATTTTAACAATATTTTTTCTTCCAATCCATGAGCATGAAATGTCTTTCCATTTCTTTGTGTCATCTTCAATTTCTTTCATCAGTGTTTCATAGTTTTCAGAGTACAGGTTTTTTATCTCCTTGGTTAGGTTTATTCCTAGGTATCTTATTATTTTGGTTAAATTGTAAATTATAGTTTTCTTAGTTTTTCCTTCTGCTGCTTCATTATTGGTTTCCTGGTTTTATGTTTTTTGTTTTGTTTTGTTTTTTAGTTTTATACAATTTATTTATGCTCTAATCTGTATTATTTACTTCCTCCTGCTGGTTTTGAGTTGTTTGCTGTTCTTTTTCTAGCTCCTTTATGTGTAAGGTTAGGTTCTTTAGTTGAGATTTTTCTTGCTTCTTGAGGTAGGCCTGTATTGCTATAAACTTCCCTCTTAGAACCACTTTTGCTACATCCCAAAGGTTTTGAACCATTGTATTATTTTTTAAGATTTTATTTACTTATTTATGAGAGACAGAGAAAGAGAGAGGCAGAGGGAGAAGCAGGCTCCCCATTGATCAGGGAGCCTGATGTGAGGCTTGATCCCAGGACCCCAGGATCATGACCTGAGTGAAGGCAGACAATTAACCGACTGAGCCACCTACATGCCATGAAACATTCATTGTATTTTCACTTTCATTTGTTTCCATGTATTTTAAAATTTCTTTATTTTATTTTCTGGCTGACCCATTCATTGTTTAGTAGCATATTATTTAAACTCTGTGTATTTGTGGTCTATCCCTATTTTCTTTTCTTATGGTTAACTTCTAGCAATGTGGTCAGAAAAGATTCATGGTATGATTTTGACCTTTTTGAATTGGTTGATGGTTGCTTTGTGGTCTAATATGTGATTTATTCTAGAGAATGTTCCATGTGCACTTGAAAAGAATGTGTATTCTGCTGTTCTGGGGTGGAATGTTCTGAATGTACCTAATATATTAGTTCCAGTGTGTCATTCAAAGTTTTTGTTTCCTTGTTGATTTTCTTCATGGATCTGTGCATGGCTGTAAGTGGGGTGTTAAGATCCCCTACTTTTATTGCTGTTCTCCATATTTGTATCTTGTCTGCCCAGCACCATTTGTTAAAAAGATTGTCCTTTCTCCTTTGAATGTTTTTGGCTCCCGCCTTGACTATTAGTTAACTGTATATTTGAGGGTTTTATTCTGGCCTCTCTATTATGTCCTGTTAGTCCATGTATCTATTTTCATCTCAGTACCCAATGTTTTTATTATTATAGCTTTATAGTATAGTTTAAAATCAGCAAGTGTGATACCACTAACTTTTTTCCCACCCCTCTGGATTGCTTAACTTGACTGAGCCACACAGGCTTCCTTCCCTACAATGCACATTTCTAAGGAGTTGACAGGAATGCTGATACTGTTGTTCCAGGGACCACACCTGAGAACCACAGCTCTAACCTGGCCCTGTTAACAGGACAGAAAACCGACTAAAGAGCACATCTGTGGCCTTGGTGGGACCTCTCTGTTCATTGGTCCACACCTGGAACTTCCCTGTGCATGTTCCTAAGTTTATTATTTCTGTTCATGTGTTTGTCCTCAGCTGAATTACATGTAGCCTAAAAACTGAGCTCACAGCTATTTCTGTTAAAATCTGCTCCAATCCATCAATCACAGGATCCAAACTACTACTTCTTATAATGGAAGGTTTCTTTCACTCTCACCATTCCCTCACAAACCTTGGTCTTCTGAGACATAGAAGACATGTCACAACATACACTTCTGCAGGAAGAGCTCTGCAGGACCTCTGAAGAGGGACTTCTTACCCCTTGTGCTACTCAAGTTTGGTTAAGTCACTATCTGTCTTGCTGGGAGGATGAAAGTGTCTTCTCCCTCTGACTTGTATGTTCCATTCCTTCTCAAGGTTTGAGAAGTTCTCAGCTAATATTTCTTTAAGTAAACTCTTTGCATCTTTCTCCCTCTCTTCTCCTTTATCCTCTTGTAGCTGGAAGTATTTCTATATTCCCATTCTCCAAGTCATTTATTCTTTCTTTCATTTAGTCTGCCCTGTTACCTATGCTCTGTATTGCATTATTCATCTCATTTATGACTTTTGTAGTTTCAGAATTTGTTTTTTTATAATTTTAATCTCTTTTTTATAATTTTTATAATTTTAATCTCAGAATTTGTTTTTTTATAATTTTAATCTCTTTTTTATAATTTTTTATAATTTTAATCTCTTTAATAAGTAAAGAACTTATTCTCTTCATTAATTTTATTTCTGAATTTACTGGATTATCTACCTGAGTTTTCTTGTAGCTCATTGCATTTCTTCATAACAGCTACATATAAGAAACAAGTGTTGCATGAAACAAAAGAGTTTCAAAATACATGGGAGAAAAACTGATAGAACTGAAAAGAGAAATAGAAAAACTCACAGTTATACCTGGGAAATTCAATACCCCATTCTCAGCAGTTGGTAGAACTACTAGAAAGAACATGAAAAAGGTGAGAGGATCAGCCATGCAGATGTTTGAGTGGAGAATTCAGGCAGAGAGGACAATGACTAAATCAGTCTGAGGTAGGAGTCTTTCTAGACTATTTGAGT